TAGCCACGCGTATCATCCTTGGTAGGAATCGGTGTTCTTTTGCGAGGATTTGTGATTTATCGAATCTAATGTAATGGTGGGGACGATCTTGAACATGTTCGCAGACTGCAGACTTCCCGGAGCGTCGGTGCTTCACGTCAGCTATATGTTCCTTCACGCGGGTTTTTATAGATCTTTTTGTTTGACCTATGTACATTCACAATCTAGCTTGTACACACCTGCATCTTGTAGAGGAATATTGCATTTGATGGATGGTAAAAATTGACTAATCTTCTTAGGCGGCTTGTAGTATGTTTTAATGGATGCTCGCTTCAAGATGTAGCCAATCTTGTGTGTGACTCCTCTAACGTACGGTAGTACAATAGGCGCGCGCTCGACTGTTGCCGCCTTCACTCGTTCAATGTGACGTAGGCGCGGAACCCTTAGCTTGTTGTCTTGCAATACTTGCTTGACACGCTGAAGTTCGGCGGCCAGATGTTTTCTGTCACAGATCCCTCGTGCTCTCTGAAACAAAGATTTACCCATGGTAGCTAACCGTTGGTAGGGTCTTTTTTCTATACACAGTGTGATCAATAGTGTTATCAGGATTTCGGGTGACTAAAACATCTAGGAAGGCTAAAGAATTATTTGTCTCTAACTCCATTGTGAATTGTATCTTAGAGTTTATGGAGTTAAGGTGGTCTAAAAATGCAGTTACTTTGTCAGATGGTAAAATTGTGAAAGTGTCGTCTACGTACCGCTTGTAAAACCTTGGAATTACAGGAGCAGTAAAAAGGGCTTTCTCCTCAAAGTCCTCCATGAATATGTCGGCGACTATGGGAGACACAGGTGAGCCCATCGCCACACCATCTACTTGCTTGTAGAACTCCTCCTTCCACAATAGATAGCCAGATGTGAGGCAGTGTTCAAGTAATATTGCATATTCTTGAGGCATGTTATTTTCTTCTAGCTTCCTAGTTACAATTGAGATGCAGACAACAATAGGTAGGCATGTAAATAGTGACTGAACATCAAAACTGACCATAGTTTCATTGTCAGCGAGATGTAGGTCTTTTATCTTATTTTTTGTTTTATAATAAAAATTAATTATTTATTAATTTAATGATTAATTATTAATTAATTATTATATATTATAATTAATTATTATCTTTTGTTCTATAATAAAAATAAATTAAAGTTGAATTAAACGCGATAAAATCCGTAAATAATAGTTTTATTTAATGTGTAGTGTTCGCGTAAATTTAGGAAATCATTATTTGAAAATGGTTTTTCACCATCATAGACCTATAAGAATGAATAAGCTTTTATTACGGTAAAAGCGGTAAAACGGTAAAAGACTGCCTCGTTGGTCTAGTGCTTGTAGTAGTACGACTGCTGATTATGAGGTCCTGGGTTCGAATCCCGAGTCGGGCCAAAAGAAATAGTTATTGAGTTTTTTCGTCAAGAAATTCTCAGTAGTTGCCCGGAGTCAGGAAGTTGGCGGTGTCTCACCCCCGTGCCTCGGAAAGCACGTAAAGCTGTTGGTCCTGCGGCTGATCTCTCGCCGGTCGTGTCGGTTTACCGTCCCGTCAGATTATGAGAGTGAGGGAATAGAGAGTGCACCTGTGCTTGCGCATACACTTGGGCACTATAATTCTGTCCTTCGCCGATGGCTAGCCTCCGCTGAGGCAGGCCGCCGTGGCCGAAATTCGGTCTGGAGGACATTATTATTATTATTATTAACGGTAAGACAATGTGCAATATTTTACTGGTATTAGGAATCCTTTTCTGGCCAGGAGTACGTCTGGGTAAGTGCCAACCTCTCATGTACAAATAGTACTGCTGACAAATAGTAGTGCTTGTCTTATATCGAATTGAAGTATGAGAGTCATGGATGAGGCAATCTTTTGACATTGCACTTAAATCTAGTCATGATTTTGAGCTGATAATTAGGGTTTGAGTCCCGGGTCGTCTCGTGTCTCAAAGTCCCGAGACTTTTCGTAATTTTAGTTGTCTCGAATCCCGAGACTTTCAGGTCGAGACTAGAGACGAGACAAGATTGTCGAAATTGTTATGTAACAATTTTTATTTTCAAGTAATTGAAGGAGCCTAGAGCTATCTGTTAGCTTAGTGAATATTTAATTAGTCTACTACGTAACTACTGAGCACACAACATAATAAATGCATTTGCCGTGCTCTGCCGCTATATTAGTTGTTCTCTTGGATTATGATTGTGTCATGTCAGTTGAGTCAGACAGTCGTCATATTCATTTATGATGTAAGTGTGGTGTGGTGCTTCTTTTGAACTTATTTTACTACTAGATGTTAAAACAAGGTGGAATTCCATCATTGTTATGGCGGAACGGTTTTTGAAGCTTAAAAATTGCGTGAAGTAACAGTTGATTGATTTAAATATGTTAGACAATTGGAATGAAGACAATTTTCTTCTTTTGTAGTCAATCTTTGATATTTTGCAGCCGATCAAGATAGCTGTGGAAGCTTTAGGCCAACAAAACGCTTCATTACCTACAACTGTAGCAAAAATAGACGAGCTGCTCAAAAAAAATCAATCTACAACGACTAATAATGATTTGGCGAAGCTGTTCTTCGAAACTTTGAAAGCTCATCTAGAAGAGAGAAGACCACAATGAGTTGTATGCTTTTTAAAATATTTGCATACTGGCCACCACACCTCACATTTTCAAAACACGGACTTTTTTTACCTTAAATATTAGTAAAACTGCATTAATTGGCTTTGCGGAAGAACTGTAACAATACAAAATAAAATACAAAAAATAGGGATATTTTCGATGGATGCCTAGTATCCGGACACCAGATGTAGAAATAATGGACTCTGAACCTAGTATTAGTAGCTCTCAAGTACACAACAAGTCTGATGAGTATTTTATAAATCAAATAGAACAAGCAATAAAAATATCCAAGAAAATGAACCCGAGATTCTGGTAAAAAAGAACAACATTAAAAAAGGAGTTTCAGTTGTTTGAAGCAACCGAAAAACGTACCGAAAATTTGGAACTATGTACTGTTTAAAGTCTGTAGAATCATCTGTAGAAAACGAGAAAGTGTTCTCTTTTTCCGGTGACATTATTACAAAAATCAGAAACAGATTGTTGGACAGATTGGATACTAGAATTGCTAGATAAAAGTAAAGTTATTAAGAATTAGTATGATTTTTAACTAAGATCGTTTTAAATCTATTAGATTTTTGTGATTAAAAGAAATAAACAAAGCAATTATAAAGACTAAAGTTACGATAAAGTTAATCAAATTTAATTTTCTCTTTAATAAATGTAGATTTAAAAAAAATTCCTTTTTAATACGGTTCATTACCTCATTTAAAAAAATCATAAAGTCTCAAAGTCCCGGGAATTCCCGGCTATCACGTGTCCCGGGACCTTGAAATTGTCGGGAATTCCCTAATAAAAACCCTAATAAAAATCACTGCCTCGTTGGTCTACTGGTTGTAGTAGTGCGATTGCTGATCATGAGGTCCTGGGTTCGAATCCCGGGTCGGTCCAAAAAATTCATTATTGAGTTTTTCCGTCAAGAAATTCTCAATAGTTGCCCGGAGTCAGAAAGGCGGCGGTGTCTCACATCCGTGCCTCGGAAAGCACGTAAAGCCGTTGGTCCTGCACCTGATCTCTTTCCGGTCGTGTCGGTTTACCGTCCCTTAGTCCCGCCCCTGCTTACGCATAAACTTAGGCACTATAATCCTGTCCTGCGTAGATGGCTAGCCTCCGTTGAGGCATGCCGGTCACGGCGGCCTGCTTCAATGGAGGCTAGCTATCTATATATAAATCGGTCTAGAGGACATTATTATTATTATTATTATTGGGTGGTATCAATATAGTTTTCTCATCTAGTTGGGTTCTATAAATATATAATTATAAATAGAAATGAAAAGATAAATATATATATAAATATCAATAAAATTAAATAAATATAAAAATACATAAATAAAAAACAGCCCAACCAGATGGAGGCCCTCGGCAGGGGAGACCAAACGGCCGAGGGTTAGGGGGAAAGGGAAAGAAACCGGCGGACGATGCGGGCTGTATCGAGGAGCACCGCCTTCTGCATTTGAGCCTGGAGCGGTCCGTCACGTAGTCCCAGCCACCTCAGATGACCCGACAGGCTGACTGGCATTAGCCCGTTTGCAGAAACGACTACAGGAATAATTTCGGTCGGTAGTCCACCGCACATGTCGGTCACCTCGTGAGCCAGCTCCAGGTATTTTGTTTGCTTATCTGTTTCGGCTTTCACGAGGTTCTCGTCATACGGAATGGTAATGTCGACCAAAAATATCCTTGACTGTGCCCGGTCCATCAGCACAATATCAGGCTTATTCGCAAGAATAGTCCTATCTGTGATGATGGCCTGGTCCTAATAGCGCCTGGCGCGATCATTTTCGAGCACGGCTTCCGGCAAGTACTTGTAATACAGCAATTTCCGATCAACGAGACCGTATTTTAGCTCCTTTTCCAGTTCGGGGCTCTACGGACCGCCTCAGCTACGTCATCCGGCGTTATGATGACGGGGTCCATGGGCGTAACACTCGTACACTGACCCGCCGCAACTTCCGTCCAAGGGCCCTCGCTGTAGTTTACGGGCTCTGACCACAGGCCGCGCCAGAATGCGACAGTGTCGGCCTGATTCGGTGCTGAGTCCGTTCCACTTACCATTGGTGGCTCCAATGAACCATGTCGACCTCTCGGTATATCGCCGAATCCGCTTTCCCCAAGCAGCGATTCTCTGCTTCAGGTGGTCTATGCGCTCCGTCAGTTTTTGCATTATATCCGGCTGGGACAAACTAACATTTGTCCCAGCAAATGCCATCCTGACGGTACGCACAATCATTGGCCTGTTGTTGCCTGACCTGAAGCATATCAGTCTGCCGATGAGGGCCCTAGCCTTTGCGATAAGTTCTTCAAATCTTATTCTCCAGGCTGGGATAGCGCTACTTTGTCCAGTAGCGCGTCCAGCCGTGGAAAGTTTGGCGCCTATAATACGGAATACTGCCAGTACTGCGCCAAAAAGAATTGAGTTCGTCTCACAAAGGTTAGGCTGGCTTCCAAATAGGTCACCAGCATTGGGTTTAGAGCCCTCACGACAGCCCGATTCCGCTTGCTTAGGGCTATGCGGGGAAGTCGCGGTCGATTTTCGAGAGGCGTACTACGCGTTTCCACAATCGCTTCTTCCAATGTACTCTTCATATGCTCTAATTCCAGTTCCTGGGCGACTTTTCCATCATCTTTTGAATCAACCACAACTGGGGTATTCACGGCGGCATCCACGTTTGCGGGTTGCTCTGCAATTTGTGGCGCTGCATCCTCAGCCGTAGCATTTTCATCCAATGACGGAACAGCCTCACGTCGTAGCCGTTCGAGTTCGGCGATGTCAAATATATTTGAGCGCAAGAGATACCGAACTCGGTCTGGCAGGTTTTGCTCTGTGACGGTTAAAGATGGCTCCAGCTCAGCAAACAGACAATGCATCCTAACCCGATACGCCAAACCTCCAACTTCTCCCCCTTTCGCCCTAAAATACGCCCGCAATGCGTTAGTATTCATTTCGATTGTCCATCGCATGCGGCGTACTCCACCTGTGGCGGGTGCCGATTGCTGGGCCCGCGAAGACCCTGCCGACACCAAGTCAGCTGGTGAGGATGATGGATACGAGGGGCTGATGGATGGTCGTGCAGCACCTCTCGCTCGGCTGGCGGTTCGCATGCTGTCGCGTCCAGCGCCAGCTCCAGACGCGCCCTGGTGACCTCCAGGCAGCGGCCCATTGCGCGTTTCTCCGTATTCCATCATCCATAGTGGTGGGCGGGAGACGCCCAGACCCGGCGCCATTTCATGGTGGGCCCATGTGCACAAGCGGGCCTTTGCACCTTTAATTTTTGCCGAGGCACGGCACTAACACACAATAGGACAATAGTCAGGGGGTTTTCATGCTGGTCTACCTTTCCGGTGATCCTGTTATGGAATACGGGTACGCGACCCCGGCTCCCCGAGCTACTGTTATTCTCATACCTTTCCTGCCGAGATAACAGTATCCTTACACCTGCGCTCCTACCCCCAACCTTCTTTTTCCTTTTCCCAAAATGGTAGCTTCCTCTACCAACAATAGCATACCCAAAGAGGGTTGGTGTCAGGCAGGCGGCCGACTGTAAAACTTTTGCCAAATCCCATGCAGTAAACCTATGAATATTACGAGTTGTGGGATATATGACAGGGCTAGGGCGTACCCCGCAGGCGACGCGCAGGGGCAGCACCCGGCTCCTGTGGGAAGTGGGCAAGGGTTGTCGCACCTTACGGAGCGGGTGCGACGTAAGAGGCGAGCCCGGAGAGAGAAGAATGTCAGAGTGAGGTTTGCAAGCTGGAATGTAGGTACGATGACTGGAAGAGGAAGAGAGTTAGCAGATGTTTTGAAACGACGAAGAGTGAATGTTGCCTGTTTGCAGGAAACAAAATGGAAGGGCAATAAAGCAAGAGAGATTGGGGAAGGATACAAGTTTTATTATTGTGGAAGTGATGGGAAGCGAAATGGAGTAGGAGTTGTGTTAGATAGTGGAATGAAAGAACGAGTGACAGATGTGAAAAGAGTAAATGACAGAATGATAGTTGTTAAATTAATGATTGAAAACAAAGTAGTGAATGTTGTAAGTGTGTATGCTCCGCAAACAGGCTGTGAAGAGAGTGTGAAAGAGAAGTTTTGGGAGGAATTTGATTGTATGATGATGGGAATACCTGAGAGTGAGGATGTTTATATGGGAGGAGATTTTAATGGACATGTAGGGAGAGTGAATGACGGGTATGAAAGAGTACACGGTGGATGGGGGTACGGAGTGCGGAACCGTGAGGGGGAAGTTCTTCTGCAAGCAGAATGTGCTTTCGACCTGGCTGTAGTAAACACGTGGTTCCAAAAACGAGATCAGCATCTTGTTACTTATAAAAGTGGCCACCACGCGACACAGATCGACTATCTTCTGATAAGACGGAACCAAATCAAGAGTGTAAAAAACTGCAAAGTGCTTCCAGGTGAAGACTTAGTATCCCAGCACCGAATTCTGCTGGCTGACATCTGCTTAACTGTTCGCCTCAACAAACATAAGGATCGTCCCCCACCCAAAATAAAGTGGCATTTGTTGCGTAAGGAGGAGTATGCAAGTGAATTTAGAGAGCTAGTTGTAAACAAGATGGTAGAGATGGGTGATATGGAAGGAATGAGTGTGAATGAGTGCTGGAAGGAAATGGCTGATTGTATCCGAAGTGTGGCAAGGAAGGTGTTAGGAGAAACAAAAGGGAAGCGTATGATAGATAAGGATGGGTGGTGGTGGAGTGAAAGTATTAGAGAAGTTTTGAGAGAAAAGAAAAATGCCTTTAAAGAATGGCAGAGCGTAGAAGACCAGAATGATTCCATAAAAGAAAGTAAGAGAGGGGCGTATAAAGAATGTAAGAAGAGAGCAAAGAAGGAAGTTGCTATTTGTAGGGCAGAGGTGCAAGATAAATTATATCGGTCCCTTGAAAGCCCCGAAGGTCAAAAACGACTTTTTAAAATTGCAAAAGCGAGAGAAAGGAATGGAAGAGATGTTTCACATGTAAAATGTATAAAAGATGATTCTGGAAGGATTTTGACTGACGATGAAAGTATAAAGAAGCGATGGAAGGAGTATTTTGAGAAATTGATGAATGAGGAGAATGAATGGAATGGTATGCTTGAAAACCCACCAGTGAATATGGGCTTAGTGAGAGAAATTAGTGTGGAAGAAGTAAAAATGGCTGTTAGGAATATGAAGAATGGGAAGGCGGTCGGCCCAGATGGAATACCAGTAGAAGTGTGGAAGTTGCTGAGTGCGGGTGGTTGGAAGTGGTTGAGTTTATTTTTGGTAAATTGTTGCAGGAAGAACAAATACCTGAGGAATGGTGCAGTAGTATACTGGTCCCCATTTTTAAAAACAAAGGAGACGTTCAAAACTGCAGCAGTTACCGGGGAATAAAACTCATGTCACATACGATGAAAGTCTGGGAAAGAATAATAGAGAAAAGAATGAGAGAAGAGTGTGAGATAACACAAAACCAGTTCGGATTCATGCCCTGTCGAGGTACGCCAGATGCCATTTTCGCCTTCCGCCAATTGTGCGAAAAGTATAAGTGCGTGCATAAAAATCTGCACATGGTTTTTGTCGACCTTGAAAAGGCGTACTATCGGGTTCCCCGTGAGGTTTTGTGGTGGGCGTTAAAGATGAATGGTATGCCTGGGAAGTACGTGAGGTTAGTCCGTGCTATGTACAGAGCATCCCGTACATGTGTACGATCTGCCGCGGGAACTACGGGCAGTATCGATGTGGCGGTAGGGCTGCACCAAGGGTCGGCATTGAGCCCTTACCTCTTCCTACTGATTATGGACGCTTTGACGTCGGACCTGCAGGATGAGGCACCCTGGTGCATGCTCTTTGCCGATGACATCGTGCTTGTCGGGGAAGAAGGCATCGAGGTACAGAGCAGACTGACGGGGTGGCAACAGAGGCTGGAAAGTGTTGGCTTGAAGATCAGCAGATCCAAAACCGAATATCTGTGCTGTGATTTCGGCGGTCTTTCCAGTCCTGTACCCATGTCGTTGGATGGCGCTATACTGCCTACCTGCTCAGAATTCAAGTACCTCGGTTCCCTCATTCAAGGCGACGGCGGAATAGATAGAGCTGTGCAGCATAGGATTAACGCAGGGTGGATGAAATGGCGACAGGTCACAGCCACAACGTGCGATCCCCGAATGCCAATAAGGCTGAAGGGGAAAATTTACAAATCGATCATCCGACCTGTCGTCATGTATGTAAGTGAATGCTGGGCCGTCAAGAAGAAGGATGAAAATAGACTGCATGCGAATGAAATGAGAATGTTACGATGGATGTGTGGTGTGACAAGGATGGATAAGATAAGGAATGAGTATATAAGAGGAAGCCTGAAAGTAGCGCCAGTGGTAGAAAAGGTGAGAGGAAGCAGATTGGCATGGTTTGGGCATGTGATGCGGAGGGATGAAAGTCATGTCACAAAACGAGTGTTGAATAATGAATTGAATTGAATGTGGAGGGACACACGGGCAGAGGAAGGCCGAATAAAAGATGGATCGATTGTGTGAAGAGTGATATGAGAATGAAAGGAGTAAGTATGGAAATGACGGCTGATAGAGAGGAATGGAACAAGAAGATTTACTGCGCCGACCCCAGATAATGCGAAATGGCTTAGAGAATGAGAATGATGCACGGCACTAACACCTCTTGGCAAGGTGCTGACTGACTGCGCTGACGTAGTGGTTTTGTCACATAACCGTTACGCCAGCGGGCGATGGGGTCGTCACTTCCCTACGCGGTTATTATTATTATTATGGGGTATCTATATTTTTTTCTCATCTGGTTGGGTTCTATAAATATATAATTATAAATGAGAATGAAAAGATAAATACACATAAATATCAATAACATAAAATAAATATAAAAATACTTAAATAAATAAAAGCCCAACCAGATGGAGGCCCTCGGCAGGGGAGACCAAACGGCCGAGGGTTAGGGGGAAAGAGAAAGAAACCGGCGGACGATGCGGGCGGTATCGAGAAGCACCGCCTTCTGCATTTGAGCCCGCAGCGGTCCGCCACGTAGTCCCAGTCGCCTCAGATGACCCGAGAGGCTGACTGGGATTAGCCCGTTTGCAGAGACGACTACAGGAATAATTTCGGTCGGCAGACCACCCCACATGTCGGTCACCTCGTGAGCCAGGTCCAGATATTTTGTTTGCTTGTCTGTTTCGGCTTTCACGAGGTTCTCGTAATACGGAATGGTAATGTCGACCAAAAATATCGTTGACTGTGCCCGGTCCATCAGCACAATATCAGGCTTATTCGCAAGAATAGTCCTGTTTTTGATGATGGCCCGGTCCCAGTAGAGCCTGGCGCTGTCATTTTCGAGCACGGCTTCCGGCAAGTACTTGTAATACGGCAATTTCCGGTCCACGAGACCGTATTTCAGAGCGAGCTCCTGGTGTAGAATTCTGACTACTAGGTTGTGCCTGTGCAAGTACTCAGAGTTAGAAATTATTTAATTATTATTATTATTTGGAGTATCTATATAGTTTTCTTATCTGGTTGGGTTCTATAAATATATAATTATAAATGAAAATGAAAAGATAAATATACATAAATATCAATAACATAAAATAAATATAAAAGTACATAAATAAATAAAAGCCCAACCAGATGGAGGCCCTCGGCAGGGGAGACCAAACGGCCGAGGGTTAGGGGGAAAGGGAAAGAAACCGGCGGACGATGCAGGCGGTTCGAGGAGCACCGCCTTCTGCATTTGAACCTGGAGTGGTCCGCCACGTAGTCCCAGACGCCTCAGATGACCCGAGAGGCTGACTGGGAATAGCCCGTTTGCAGAGACGACTACAGGAATAATTTCGGTCGGCAGACCACCCCACATGTCGGTCACCTCGTGAGCCAGGTCCAGATATTTTGTTTGCTTGTCTGTTTCGGCTTTCACGAGGTTCTCGTCATACGGAATGGTAATGTCGACCAAAAATATCCTTGACTGTCCCCGGTCCATCAGCACAATATCAGGCTTATTCGCAAGAATAGTCCTGTCTGTGATGATGGCCCGGTCCCAATAGAGCCTGGCGCGATCATTTTCGAGCACGGCTTCCGGCAAGTACTTGTAATACGGCAATTTCCGATCCACGAGACCGTATTTCAGAGCGAGCTCCTGGTGTAGAATTCTGGCTACTAGGTTTTGCCTGTGCAAGTACTCAGAGTTAGAAAGCGCCGAACAACCGGAGATAACATGCCTAAGTGACTCACCAGGATGGCGACAAGCTCGACAGATGTCGACGGTGCCATCCTTTAGGATGTATCTCCGATAGTTGTTGGTCTTAATAACCTGATCCTGTATTGCACAAACAAAACCCTCGGTTTCCCCGAAGAGATCACCAAAGCGTAGCCAGTGGAGGGAGGCTACTGTGTCTACGAAAGGTTCATGTAGAACCTTGTAGAACCTCCCGTGGAGCTCCTTCTCCTTCCATACGGTCTCCCGGTCGGAAATGCTCTGCACTGCCGGGTCTTGCCATTGCTCGTTGGCTAAGGATAGAGGGGTAAGTCCTTTATCACAACAAATGACGTCCTTATAGAATGGATCATCCGATCTCGCCAGGAAGTAATCACGGAGGCTGCACACTTCGCGATTATGCATGGTGAGCGCGCTCAAGAAGCCACGACCACCATGCTTCCGCGGCAATTACAGCCTCATTACCGACGATCTCGGATGATGCATCCTATGGGACGTCATGGTAGTGCGGACTTTTCTATCCAGGGCGTTAAGTTCAGTCTGAGTCCACCTGAGTATGCCAAAGGTATACATGAGGACAGGCATGACCCAGCCGTTATATGCGTGTACCTTATTCACCCCGGACAAAAGGCTGTTAAGCACTTTGGTCAAGCGTGCATAAAACACGTCGCAAACTGACTGTTTCATACCAGTCTCATCGATACCGATGTTTTGTGACATACCCGGGTATCGGTATGTTTCAGCCTCGGAAAGGGTCCTTAAGTTGACGGGCATAGATAAGTCTACGCCCTCAGAGTTAGCAACCCTTCCCCTTTCAACATGGAGGACCGCACACTTATCCGTCCCAAGCTCCATTCCAATGGAATTGCTAAATTCACAAGTGATGTCTAGCAATTCCATAAAATGGGAGCGACTGGAGGCGAATAACTTGAGGTCATCCATATAGAAAAGGTGGGTCACTTTTGTCCCTCCTTTCCGTAGCTGAAATCCCCTCCCGGAGCCCTCCAGTAAGGTACTGAGAGGGTTCAGAGAGAGGCAGAACCAGATTGGACTCAGACAATCGCCCTGGAATATACCCCTTCTTATCCTTATGCGGCTTTCCGCAGCCGTCATCCGCTCACCTAGATGACAGAGGATCGTACTCCACTGCCCCATACACCGCTCGAGGAAGTCTCGAACTGTACAGTCAATCTTGTACAGCTCGAGTATCCTCTTTAGCCATGTATGGGGCACCGAGTCTAATGCCTTTCTGTAGTCTATCCAGGCGGCGGAGAAGTTGCGACGGTTGCGTTTCACCACTTCGCCAATGACCGCGTCAATGAGGAGTGGTTCCTTGGTTCCACGACCGCCGCCCCGACATCCATTTTGAGCGCGCGACATCACCTGATTTGGTTCCAGGTGACGAGTGATTCTCGCGCTCAAAATGGATGTTAGTGTCTTGTATATGGTCGGCAGACACGTGATGGGGCAGTATTTGCTCGGGTCTGTGGTAACCTGGTCTTTAGGAACCAAATGAGTGATCCCAGTAGTGAAGAGGCTCGGGAGCGACTTCTTGTTGAGAGCCTCTTGGAACTGTCGGGCGAGCACAGTGTGACACACCACAAACCCCTTCAGCCAGTAGTGATGCAGCCCGTCGAGTCCCAGACTTTTCCAGTTCGGGGCCCTACGGACCGCCTCAGCTACGTCATCCGGCGTTATAATGACGTGGTCCATGGGCGTTATACTCGCACACTGACTCGCCACAACTTCCGTCCAAGGGCCCTCGCTGTGGTTTATGGGCTCTGACCACAGGCCGCGCCAGAATGCTACAGTGTCGGCCTGATTCGGTGCTGGGCCCGTTCCACTTACCATTGGTCGCTCCAACGATTTATAGAGCCTCTTCTGATCACTCTGGAAGAGACGATTCTGGTTAAACCGTGTCGACCTCTCGGTATATCGCCGAATCCGCTTTCCCCAAGCAGCGATTCTCTGCTTCAGGTCGTCTATTGCGCTCCGTCAGTTTTTGCATTATATCCGGCTGGGACAAACTAACATTTGTCCCAGCAAATGCCATCCTGACGGTGCGCACAATCCTTGACCTGTTGTTGCCTGACCTGAAGCATATCAGTCTGCCGATGAGGGCCCTAGCCTTTGCGATACGTTCTTCAATTCTTATTCTCCAGGCTGGGATAGCGCTCCCCCCCGAACGGGTTCCCGCCTTGTCGTGGCGGGGGGGCTTAGAAGCCGTGGCTTGGTCACCCACGGCGAAACGAAAAGGAACCCATATGGCTGGTCCGAGGTGGAGGGCCGGCCCGAGGTGGCCACTCCGAGTGGGCTTGGGAAGCCCACTTCGGATGTGTATTGGTGGACTGCGGTGAAAGGTGTGTCCTCCCCACCTACCGCTGCAGCCGAGGTGGAGTCGCGGAGGAAGAGGAGTGTTGGTATGGCGATGCGCCACTCGCCCTATCCTCTGCGACTCAAACGGGGCCGCACCGTTGATGCGGTGATGATGGGGCTGCGGGGGGAGAGGATTGTCGGTATTGCGAGGCGCCGCTCTCCCTATCCTCCGCAGCCGAATCTTGGTTGGCGGCGGAGCCATAGACCTAGGTCGGGAAGGCTAGTACTTCTAAGTGCTCGTTTTTCCTGGCCCCATGGCCTTCGCGCATCGGACGCGAGGGCGTCTGTTGCGCAGATGTAATTGGAGGCCGTGGAGGAAGGCGTGCCATGTGTTCTGGTGCGCCTTACTTGGGAAGGAGAACGGGGAGGAATATTCCTCTCCCGATGAGGTGCTGCCATGGGGCGGCAGTCGCTGGTGGGGCCACGGATGTGTGCGAAAGCGTTCCCGTAGCCCTGCCAATATGCGACGAAGGTGGAAGACCATGGGGTTTTAGTCGGTGCGAGTCCGACATAACCCGTCCTTGCCCCCCGCGAGGCGGGTATGCGTAGGCATTTCCCAATGTTAAAAAAAAGAAAAGGCTGGGATAGCGCTACTTTGTCCAGTAGCGCGTCCAGCCGTGGAAAGTTTGGCGCCTATAATACGGCACACTGCCAGTGCGGCGCCAAAAAGAATTGAGTCCGTCTCGCAAAGGTCCCGGCTGGCTTCCAAATAGGTCACCAGCATTGGGTTCAGAGCCCTCACGACAGCCCGATTCCGCTTGCTTAGGGCTATACGGGGAAGTCGCGGTCGATTTTCGAGAGGCGTACTGCGCGTTTCCACAATCGCCTCTTCCAATGTACTCCTCATATGCTCTAATTCCAGTTCCTGGGCGACTGTTCCATCATCGTTTGAATCAACCACAACTGGGGTATTCACGGCGGCATTCATATTTGCGGGTTGCTCTGCAATTTGTGGCGCCGCATCCTCAGCCATATCATTTTCATCCGATGAGGGAACAGCCTCACGTCGTAGTCGTTCGAGTTCGGCGACATCAAATATCTGCCCGGTCTGCCAGGTTTTGCTCTGAGACGGTTAAAGATGGCTCCAGCTCAGCAAAAAAACGATGTATCCTAGCCCGATACGCCAAACCTCCAACTTCTCCCCCTTTCGCCCTAAAATACGCCCGCAATGCGTTAGTATTCATTTCGGTTGTCCATCGCATGCGGCGTACTCCACCAGTGGCGGGTGCCGATTGCTGGGCCTGCGAAGACCCTGCCGACACCAAGCCAGCTGGTGGGGATGATGGGTGCGAGGGGCTGATGGGTGGTCGTGCAGCACCTCTCGCTCGGCTGGCGGTTCGCATGCTGTCGCGTCCAGCGCCAGCACCAGACGCGCCCTGGTGACCTCCAGACAGCGGCCCTTTGCGCGTTTTTGCATATTCCATCATCCATAAAAGTGGGCGTCATTTAACGGGAGACGCCCAGACCCGGCGCCGTTTTATGGTGGGGCCATGTGCACAAGCGGGCCTTTGCGCCTTTAATTTTTGCCGAGGCACGGCACTAACACCTCTTGGCAAGGTGCTGACTGACTGCGCTGACGTAGTGGTTTTGTCACATAACCATTACGTCAGCGGGCGATGGGGTCGCACTTCCCTACGCCAATTTATTATTATTATTATGTGTGGGGTATCTATATAGTTTTCTCATCTGGTTGGGATGTATAAATATATAATTATAAACGAAAATGAAAAGATAAACATACAAAAATATCAATAAAATAAAATAAATATGAAAATACATAAATAAATAAAAGCCCAACCAGATGGAAGCCCTCGGCAGGGGAGACCAAACGGCCGAGGGTTAGGGGGAAAGGGAAAGAAACCGGCGGACGATGCGGGCGGTATCGAGGAGCACCGCCTTCTGCATTTGAGCCTGGAGCGGTCCGCCACGTAGTCCCAGCCGCCTCAGATGACCCGAGAGGCTGACTGGGATTAGCCCGTTTGCAGAGACGACTACAGGAATAATTTCGGTCGGCAGACCACCCCACATGTCGGTCACCTCGTGAGCCAGGTCCAGATATTTTGTTTGCTTATCTGTTTCGGCTTTCACGAGGTTCTCGTCACACGGAATGGTAATGTCGACCAAAAATATCCTTGACTGTGCCCGGTCCATCAGCACAATATCAGGCTTATTCGCAAGAATAGTCCTGTCTGTGATGATGGCCCGGTCCCAATAGAGCCTGGCGCGATCATTTTCGAGCACGGCTTCCGGCAAGTACTTGTAATACGGCAACTTCCGATCCACGAAACCGTATTTCAGAGCGAGCTCCTGGTGTAGAATTCTGGCTACTAGGTTGTGCCTGTGCAAGTACTCAGAGTTAGAAAGCACCGAACAACCGGAGATGACATGCCTAAGTGGCTCACCGGGATGGCGACAAGCTCGACAGATGTCGATGGTGCCATCCTTTAGGATGTATCTCCGATAGTTGTTGGTCTTAATAACCTGATCCTGTATTGCACAGACAAAACCCTCGGTTTCCCCCGAAGAGGTCACCAAAGCGTAGCCAGTGGAGAGAGGTTACTGTGTCTACGAAAGGCCCATGTAGAGACTTGTAGAACCTCCCGTGGAGCTCCTTCTCCTTCCATACGGTCTCCCGGTCGGAAATTGTCTGTACTGCCGGGTCTTGCCATTGCTCGTTGGCTAAGGATAGAGGGGTAAGTCCTTTATCACAAGAAATGACGTCCTTATAGAATGGATCATCCGATCTCGCCAGGAAGTAATTACGGAGGCTGCACACTTCGCGATTATGCATGGTGAGCGCGCTCAAGAAGCCACGCCCACCATGCTTTCGCGGCAAGTACAGCCTCATTACCGACGATCTCGGATGATGCATCCTGTGGGACGTCATGGTAGTGCGGACTTTTCTATCCAGGGCGTTAAGTTCAGTCTGAGTCCACCTGAGTATGCCAAAGGTATACATGAGGACAGGTATGACCCAACCGTTATATGCTTGTGTCTTATTCACACCGGACAAAAGGCTGTTAAGCACTTTGGTCAAGCGTGCATAAAACACGTCGCAAACTGACTGTTTCATACCAGCCTCATCGATACCAATGTTCTGTGACATACCCAGGTATCGGTATGTTTCAGCCTCGGAAAGGGTCCTTAAGTTGACGGGCATAGATAAGTCTATGCCCTCAGAGTTAGCAACCCTACCCCTCTCAACATGGAGGACCGCACACTTATCCGTCCCCATCTCCATTCCAATGGAATTGCTAAATTCACAAGTGATGTTTAGCAGTTCCATAAGATGGGAGCGACTGGAGGCGAATAACTTGAGGTCATCCATATAGAAAAGGTGGGTCACTTTTGTCCCTCCTTTCCGTAGCTGAAATCCCCTCCCGGAGCCCTCCAGTAAGGTACTGAGAGGGTTCAGAGAGAGGCAGAACCATATTGGACTCAGACAATCGCCCTGGAAGATAACCCTTCTTATCTTTATGTGGTTCTCCGCAGCCATCATCCGCTCGCCCAGATGACAAAGGATCGTACTCCACTGCCCCATACACTGCTCGAGGAAGTCTCTAATTGTACAGTCTATCTTGTACAGTTCAAGGACTCTTTGCCAATGACCGCGTCAATGAGGAGTGGTTCCTCGGTTCCACGACCGCCGCCCCGACATCCATTTTGAGCGCGCGACATCACCTGATTTGAGTCCAGGTGACGAGTGATTCTCGCGCTCAAAATGGATGTTAGTGTCTTATATATGGTCGGTAGACATGTGATGGGGCGGTATTTGCTCGGGTCTGTGGTACTCTGGCCTTTAGGAACCAAATGGGTGATCCCAGTAGTGAAGAGGCTCGGGAGCGACTTCTGGTTGAGAACCTCTTGAAACTGTCGGGCGAGCACAGTGTGACACACCACGAACCCCTTCAGCCAGTAGTGATGCAGCCCGTCGAGTCCCGGACTTTTCCAGTTCGGGGCCCTACGGACCGCCTCAGCTACGTCATCCGGCGTTATGGTGACGGGGTCCATGGGCGTAATACCCGCACACTGACTCGCCACAACTTCCGTCCAAGGGCCCTCGTTGTGGTTTACGGGCTCTGACCACAGGCTGCGCCAGAATGCGACCGTGTCGGCCTGATTCGGTACTGGGCCCGTTCCACTTACCATTGGTCGCTCCAATGATTTATAGAGCCTCTTCTGATCACTCTGGAAGAGACGATTCTGGTTGAACCGTGTCGACCTCTCGGTATATCGCCGAATTCGCTTTCCCCAAGCAGCGATTCTCTGCTTCAGGTCGTCTATGCGCTCCGTCAGTTTTTGCATTATATCCGGCTGGGACAAACTAACATTTGTCCCAGCAAACGCCATCCTGACGGTGCGTACAATCCTTGGCCTGGTATTGCCTGACCTGAAGCATATCAGTCTGCCGATGAGGGCCCTATCCTTTGCGATACGTTCTTCAATTCTTGTTCTCCAGGCTGGGATAGCACTACTTTGTCCAGTAGTGCGTCCAGCCGTGGAAAGTTTGGCGCGTATAATACGGCAGACTGCCAGTGCGGCGCCAAAGAGAATTGAGTCCGTCTCGCAAAGGTCCCGGCTGGCTTCCAAATAGGTCACCAGCATTGGGTTCAGAGCCCTCACGACAGCCCGATTCCGCTTGCTTAGGGCTATGCGGGGAAGTCGCGGTCGATTTTCGAGAGGCGTACTGCGCGTTTCCATAATCGCCTCTTCCAATGTACTCCTCATTTGCTCTATTTCTAGTTCCTGGGTGAATGTTCCATCATCATTTGAATCGGCAACCACTGGGGTATTCTCGGCGGCATCCACGTGTGCGGGTTGTTCTGCAACTTGTGGCACCGCACCCTCAGTCGTAGCGTTTTCATTTGATGAGGGAACAGCCTCACGTCGTAGCCGTTCGAGTTCGGCGCCATCAAATATATTTGAGCGTAAGATATACCGAACTCGGTCTGCCAGGTTTTGCTCGGTGACAGTAATAGATGGCTCCAGCTCAGTAAAAAGACGATGCATCCTAGCCCGATACGCGAAACCTCCAATTTCTCCCCCTTTCGCCCTAAAATACGCCCGCAATGCGTTTGAATTCATATTGATGGTCCATCGCATGCGGCGTACTCCACCAGTGGCGGGTGCCGATTGCTGGGCCTGCGAAGACCCTGCCGACACCAAGAAAGCTGGTGGGGATGATGGATGTGTAATAGTGGAGACGAACTGTCCACTATTAACAGACTCCGAGTGGTTTTCTTTAAGGTGGAGAAATGAAACTACTGTTTATGTTTATGAATGTACTGTCGAATGGGATTCGGAATGGAATATATTTTGCATCAACCTTGCCTATATTTATATGGCTGGCTCACTATTGATTTGCCAATGGTAACAATTAATATTTTGCCTAGCCAATTATATTGCTTATTTTATGACCAATGAAAACTATTTAAAATATACAATTATCTATGTTTCGTTTCCCGGCCTGAGACTTGTTTGTTGTTCACGAAGCTACGTCGCTGGACCGGGCTATATAAGACATGCAGATCGGTGCGCACGCGTAGTCGGCGGGCGGCGGCGGTGTGGAATACAGCTCCGGAACAGCAAGAGGAAACGAACTGCGGCGTTGAAGAAACGGCTCACCATTGGTCGACGGATACGTGACGATAGCGGCGTGTGAAGTCGGTGTGGCGCTGAATGATATTTGCGGCTGCTTCTTGTTTCTTTATAAGAACGTCAAATTATCTATATACAGTCCGCAGTATCTCAGTAGCCAAGAATAATTAGGAAATAAAATGTTTTTTTTTATTTATTCTCGCCTTCCGCGATATGGTAGCAGCGGAGTATATATTATTTATTCCCGTTTAGGTTTGATTAATCTGGCTGCTACATCACTCTCCCCCAGCGAAAGCGTACCGGAGGCTTGACGACTCGCCCGTATTTCGTAGTTTTTAAAATAGGTTTCAACTGGGTTGATGTAGATGATGGAGTTTCAAGCTTCCTCGCTGGTGGTTTTGATGATGATGATGAATCCTCTGCAGTATCCTCGTTAATAATATAGGCAGGCTTTAGTCGGTCGATCGATATAATCGTAGATTTCCTTCCGGGTATTTGTAGTTTAAAAGTCTTGCTATTTCTCTCTAATACTTTATACGGTCCATCGTAGGTAGGTTGAAATTGTTTTTTCATTGCGTCGTTTCTTACAAAAACTTGTTTGCATGTTTTCAAATCTTGGTGAATGAATACTGATTTATTATTTCTGTGTGATTGCATTTCGGTGCATTTCAACGATAAGGCTTTGTTAATTGATTCTCGAAGTTTAGTTACGAAATCGTAATCCATTTCTTGTTTGTTTGACGCTGCTGAACTGAAGAAGTCACACGGCAGCCTTATGCTGCAGCCGTAGGTTAGCTGAGCGGCGCTAAGACTAGTGTCTGCACGCGGTGTTGCTCGTAGTCCGAGTAGCACTGTAGGTAGCTCATCAATCCACTTTGTATGTTGAGATAAACGAGTTTTGAGTGCAGTCTTTAATGTACGATGCCATCGTTCGATTATTCCGTTTGACTGAGGATGGTATGCTGTTGTACGCGTCTTCTGTATTCCCATAGTTTGAAGAAGTTTGAGGAATAGGTTGCTTTCGAAATTCCTTCCTTGATCCGTTGTGATGGTTTTAGGTGATCCGAAACGAGTAATCCAATTTTCATAAATTATCTTCGCGACGGATTCGGCTGAAGTATCATCGGTAGGTATTGCTTCTGGCCATCTTGTTGTTCTGTCGATCATTGTTACGAGATAACGATGTCCTTGCGGTGAAGTAGGTAATGGTCCAACGATGTCAACGTGCAAGTGTTCGAATCTCTCCGTGGGTGGAAATGTAGCTAGACTACTTGATGTATGCCTTTGTACTTTGCATTTTTGGCATTGAATGCATTGCTTCGCCCAGTTGCCAACATCCGCTTGCATTGCAGGCCAAAAGAATTTTTCAGTGATGAGTTTTCTTGTTCTTCTAACACCTGGATGACTAAAGTTGTGCAGTGCATTGAAGACTTCGCGACGACATTCTTCTGGTATGTATGGTCGCATGGTTTCGTTGAGGCTTCACAGTATATAGGTAGATGCGTCATTGGCATTGTAACTTGCTTGATGGACAAGTTACCTTGCTTCGATAGATGTTTTATGTTGTCACTATCTCTGTCTTGTGCTGCGGCGATCTTATGATAGTCGATTGATGTAGGGCACGTTACACTGTCGATTGGTACGCGACTGAGTGCGTCGGCAACTATGTTGTCCTTTCCACTGATGTGACGTATGTCGGTCGTGAATTCACTTATGAAAATAAGTTGTCTTGCTCTTCGTGGTGTTTCCGATAGTGATGGTTTCTTTGGAAGTACATATGTTAATGGTTTGTGGTCGGTAAAAACGATCAGGTTTCGACCCTCGAACGTTTTTCTGAAGTGCTTGATAGCCATGTAAATAGCGAGTAACTCTCGGTCGAATGTACTGTAGTTACGTTGAGTATCGGAGAACTTCTTCGAAAAATATCCAAGTGGTTGCCATTTCCCATTGCTGTATTGTTGGAGAACTGCTCCTGCTGAGAGATCGGATGCGTCGCTGAAGATAGCAAGGGTTGCTTCGTGTGATGGGTGAGCGAGTAAAGCTGCATTTTGGATCGCAATTTTACAAGCTTCAAATGCCTTCGTGGCTTCATCGTTCCATTCGATTGACGTTTTATCTTTTTTCTTCGTGTTGTGAAGGTAGGCGTGAAGTGGTGCTTGGATTTCAGCGGCTTTAGGTATGTGTTCTCTGTAAAAATTTATCATCCCAAGAAAACGCCTTAGCTCTTCGATAGTTTTAGGTTTTGCATAATCGATGATTGCTCTGACTTTTTCGGCAGGCGGTTTTATTCCTTCCTTGCTGACGGTGAAACCAAGAAATTGAACTTCTTGCTGTCCAAATATGCATTTCGAAGGGTTGATTGTGATTCCGTTGTCTTCTAATCGCTGTAGCACGGTGCGTAGATGGGTTTCGTGCGTTTCTTTATCAGGGCTTGCAACAAGGAGATCATCAATAAATGCGAAAACGAAATCCAGTCCATGAAGTACTTCGTGTATGAATCTTTGGAAAGTTTGACCTCCGTTCTTTAATCGTGGGATCATTCTTGGGAATTCGAATAATCCCATTGGGGTAATTATTGCTGTCTTCTCTATGTCTTCATCGCGGACTCTTATTTGTTGGTAAGCTCGGTTGAGATCGATGGTGGAGAATATAGTCTTGTCTGATAGTTGATGAGTGAAATCCCTGACTCGCGGTATTGGGTAGCGGTCAGGAGTGGTAATAGAATTCAGTCTTCTGTAATCTCCACAAACTCGTAATTCTCCGTTCTTCTTCGGTACAATGTGAAGTGGTGATGACCAAGGGCTTTTGCTTGGACGGCATATTCCTTGCTCAATCATGTTTTCGAATTCCTTTCGAACTTGCTCGTATAGGTGTGGTGCGATTGGACGTGCACGACAATGAAGTGGTGGTCCATTGGTGTCGATGAAATGCTCAACGTCGTTCTTCGGTGTTAATTTCATTGAAGTTATTCTTGTGATACCAGGGTATTCTTCGAGGATCTTGTGATACGGTTGTTGCACATCTATGCTTCTTATTGTGGGCAGATTGGTTGCTTGTACAAAAGACTGAGATGCAAGATTGGTTTTCCCGTCGATGATTCTTCTATTTTTGATGTCGACGACCAACTGGTGATGTTGAAGAAAATCAGCACCGATGATTGGTTTGCTGACTTTAGCGACGATAAATCTCCATTTGAATGGTCGGCGTAGATTAAAATCAAGTTCCATTGTTTTTTCTCCATATGTAGGAATAACCGTATTGTTTGCTGCATAGAGTTGAAAATCTAGTGGCTTCAACTTCTGTCCTTGCTTCGGCGGTAACACTGAGATATTTGCTCCGGTGTCGATAAGGAAAGTGAGCTTGCTTTTTTTATCGGTGACGAAAAGACGGTAGGACTTTGCTGTTACGCTGGATCCCGTCGCATCGAGCGTACTAGTTAGTTTTCCGTATTCGTATTTTCATTTTTGAATGTACACGGTGCTGTGCATTTTCTTGCCTCGACCCCGAAACGTCGATGATAGTAGCAGTAAGGGGATCTTGATGTTGAGCTTATTCGACTTCTACTTGCAGAGCGGTTGCGACGAAAAGGTGATCTTCGGTGTTGCTGATTGCGCTGGTTGTACTGTTGCTGGTAAAAGGTATGATGCTGGGAAGCTTTGAGCGCGGCGACTTCGAATGATAGCTTCCGAATTTCTTCGAGAAGAAACTGGGTATCATTGGCCTTTGTTGAAGTGCCTTCGATGATCGATATGTGTGAGCTACTGCTGTTTTCGATCATCTTGTCCGCCAGGAGTGCCAGTTCGTCGAGCTTCGTCTGCGTGCTGAATGTTTCGCTGACTGCTATTACCGATCGAATATGTGGTGGTAGGTGGTTTACCCACATTAGCCGTAGTGTTGAATCCGGAACTTTATCTCGCGCCAAAGTACGCATTTTGCGTAGGAGTTGTGTGGGTTTCTGGTCTCCAAGTTCTATTTCTGATAGAAGTTTTTGTAGCTGTCGACTGTCGGATTCTTCATATGCGGAGATCAGACGATCCTTCAGTGAATTATACTGGTCGACTGCTGGTGGGTTGTACAACAGGTCCGCAATTTGTTCGATGTCTTGTTTCTCAAGTTGGGCTATCACCATCTGTGCTAATTGCGCTTGGCTCTTCTTTAAACCATTTGTTGCGGCTTCAAAACTGACGAACCAAAGTCGTGGTTTGTCTCTCCAAAACGGTGGTATTCTTAACGATAGAGATATACCGGCGATTTCTGGTTCCTTTACCGGGTTTGATGTATATGTGTTTGCCTCCTGCTCCATAATGACGGCTTGATTACACTGATTTTATATAAACTGAAGTCTTCCTTCTCGGTGTTCGTACGGGTTTCCTTCGCGGTGTTCGTGCAATAGTAGTGGTACGTCGCAGGGT